TTTTTTTTTTCTGCTCTGTTCTGCTTACTTCTGTTTCTTTGTGCTTACTTTTGCCCTGTTTTGTTCTTTTTCTGTGTAGTCAACTTCTTTTCATATGACCATAGGAACAGGTGCGTACCGGTTACATGCATATAACATGTAGATTTAAATGAATAATATGACGGGGTCGTATTCTCCTTTATGGGCAATTAATTATTAACAGCTGAGCACGTGCATTCTACGCGCATAGTGCAGCACAAATATAGAATGCGAATAAGCATTCGAGTATAAGGAGAGATTGTCTCTCCGCGCAAACGCGGCCGCGTAAACCGCATTGTAGCCGAGTGTAAGAAAGGAGGAGAGATTGTTTCTCCGAGCCACGTGGCCTGGTAAGCAGCATTCGACGAAGTAGCCGCGTGTACGAAGGAGGGAGACATTGTCTCTCCGAGCAAACGTGGCCGGGTAAGCAGGATTAGACGAAGCAACCGAGTGTACGACGGCAGAAGAAATTGATGTTGTTGTTATTACTGCGGTTTTTAGTTGTACGCAGAGCCGACAGTGTGTGTGATGGCGTTTCGTGCAGAGCGCTGTAGAAAGGGCGCCGGGGGTGCTTTTCATGATGCGTTGTGTGTACTGTTGTTCCTATTTTTTCCTTATTTTTTTTTTTTTTTTTCTTTTCTTTTTTTCTTCTGTTCTTTCTCTTCCCATTCTTTTCTTTCTGTTGCCCTTCTAGGTCCAACAAACGTAAACCCGGAACCCAGCCTCTGGATCCTGCGAACTTTGAGAAAGGACCGTGGGACCCAAACCTGTGGATTAGGGTGGGAGAAAGGGGGATGGTGAAGTCGGACACACTAATTTTTTTTTTGGTATTTTTTCTTTTTTTCTATAATATGGATTATGTTGTTATGAATTCGAACAAGGATAAAGTGAAGTTTACGGTAGATTTATGTGCAACGAAATATTTCCAACAGTATCATATTCTGAACGGGCATGCATAGGACTGGGGCAGGTTGATTGTATACAGCAGGCATTAGGAACATCGGGTCATTTTGCGATGTCCGCAATATAGATATAATATTGGAATTTGGCAATTATAGTATCATGGCGACTAGTGCGACAGATGTGGCGAATTTCACACAGCACCTTAGGAAATGGTTCGAACGAAGAAAAATGAGCTCGGAAAAAGACTACAGTGTAAGAGGACGGAGCACATGGCGCGGCAGAGGGCGCGGGAGCGCAAGAGCTAGACTCACACAACGGAATATAGGGGTATATGCATTCGAAAATAAAAACTGAGCGCGAATCCTAGGCGACAGTGGTATATGTGGTAATAAACGTATTGTATTCCTATATCTGCAGGAGAAACTATGGACAGATATACAGCACCTTTTCAAAGTGTTAGCCGCAAGTATAAAACAGACGCATACTGCCACCAAATCCGCGTGTGCAGCAGCATTCCCAAAATGGACCTGGCTTAAGAATGCGCCGGAATTAACGGTCTGCCGGCGTATTGTAAACATATTTTTATTCATGGATAGGAGACATAATTCTGGGGGAAACTGGACTACGCAGCGTATATTTCAGGGCGATGAGGAGTTTGAGGATTATGTTCGGTGTATGCTTGGGAACATTGCTATGGCGGAATTGTTTAAGAATAATTGTAGCGCAAGGGGCATCATCGATACAGTGTCCACGCACATGGACCAGTTCAGGCAGTCCTTTGGGTATGAGGATGGAAGTAACCTTTGCAAGGATATGGGATACGAGACACTAATGGTTGGATCGAAGTTTGTTGCAGCAACTATGGCAGGCTGGATAAGGAATTGGAGCATACAAAATGGTGGAGGCAAACTAGCAGCAAAAGGGACAAGAACATGTAACAAAGACAACACGGATCAACAGGCGCGGAGCAACGTACCAGCTGTTAGAATGTTTAAAAGCAAGGATAACCTAGTAATAACGGAGTTAGTGAAAGACGGGAAGGATTTGGACATGCACAAGAAAAAGCAACTGGCCGCAGAATTAGACGAAAAGAGCGAAAAGCCGGGAGTATTCGACGATATAATGGGAAAGATCTCGGCGGCTGCGGAGACAGTTCGCGCGCGCAGTGCCCTCGGCCAAGCCAGTACAAGTACTGTACAGACACCGTCGCCATCACCACCAGGACGGGCAGATCACGCTAGTGGGGAATCGTCCGGGGCCAACCCAGCAGCTACAGCATCGTCGGCAACACCGGTAGCACCGGGAGACACGGCAACACCGCCAGGGGCACCGACAGGTAACACCGATGAGAGAAAGCACGAATAGGGCTCGATACGGCCAAATACGCATCATACTGCCGCATACTAACAAGGCCGGCACGGACATGAGGGCCAAAAATACGACTGCGCATATGGATGCCGCCACGAACAACAGCTACGCAGAGCGGTGTGCAACAGCACGGTACACGGCTTAGGTTGACGTTGAGTGGAACCGGTAGCGGCAGGGGTAGAGGTGCTGGTAGGGAAGCAACGGAGACGAGATGACGGCGACAAATAAAAGTGTACTGCTACCATCTAGCGGCGTTCACGGAGTATGCAGTCCACCGAGTCCATCTCGATCCATGCATCGACACACTCTATCGAGCCGCGCCCTACACTGCCGCTACCTGCCGCTAACGGACCGAACCGTCGCGCCCCCTTCTTTCTGTACCACTTGTGTCCCTTTTTTTTTTTATCATCTTTTCATGCATCTGTCTTCCGTTCCCCATCTTAGGTAAACCAAGTGCAGGACCCGAACTCGGGGATACCGCAGGAGGCAGGTCATTGCCGCCATCGCCACCACAAGCACCGGCATCCCCAGCAGTACCAGCCAGACCACCACCACCACCACCACCACCACCACCACCACCACCACCACCACCGGCCGCAGCAGGATCAGGAGCAGTCGGCCCAGGACAAGGACCGGGTCAAGGACCGGGTCAGGGACCTGGACCTGGACAACAACCACCACCACCAGCACAGCCGCCTCAGGAGAAGACTTCTGAGGACGACCACAAGGGGAAGAAAGCAGACAAAGCAGGTAAGTGCACAGAGAGTTCCACCAGTACGAATACGAACGGATCCGGCGTTAGCATAAGCTTCGGGTGCACTCCAGATTCCGCGTTGGGAGTTCCCTCTAGTACACTCCTGACTCCCCCTGATCCAGCGCCAGGTAACAATTCCTATGCACCATAGTGCAAATACACACCCGAAGTAACATTAGAAGCACAAAAAAAAAACAACACACAATTTCCGGCGAGAGAGAGGGAGAGACACCACGGAGAGAGAGAAACCCAACGTCGAATGAGAGTAACCGGCCGAGCCACGGGTCGGCCGCGGGAGGTAGCGGCCGGTAGAGGTAGACGTCGACAGCCCGACAGAGACAGCGACACACACACTGTGTGTGTTGTGTGTTGTGTGTTGTGTGGCCGAGAAAGAGTCTTTTCCCGGGGTGGCACCCTACCCTCCGTGCCATGGCCCATCGTCCGTCTCCTGCCCCCATTGCACCAATGGTGCCGATCGTGTAGCCGACGGTGTGGCTCACAACCAAATATCTGAAAGTGCAGATTGTTTCATATTCTTTTCCTCCTGTTCTAACTTACAGATCACCATGTTACTCAGGTTACACACAGTACGCACCAGGCAGGATCACAACCGCCACCAGCACCAAGACCACCGACAGGCAGCAACGGACCCGCCAAACCAGCGCCAGCACCGGCGGAATCGACCAATGCAGGTTCGACAGGAACATCATCAGCACCAACAACACCATCTTCTGACGCAACGACACCATCAACAGGAACAGGAGGGCAGGGTGCAACAGGTGAAAATGGTGAAGCCGGCGGTACGCAGGCCGTTGATGGCGGCAACGATGACCCCCCTCCTCTCAATCCACCCAAACCAAAACCGAACCCCAACCCAGATCAATCGGGTAGTAGTGGCAGTTTCAGTGATGCTGATTTGGCGGATGGAGTTTCTGGTGGGGAAGGAAAGGGAGGTCAGGGTGGTGAAACGCATGCTGGCAGCGCCGGTAGCGGAAGTCCAGGAGGAGGAGGTCGTAGTGGTGGTGGTGGTACTAGTGGTGCAGGACACGGCGGTAGTGGTACTGATGGTGCAGGGGACGCGCCTACCCCTGCCACCCCGTCCGTGCCGCCCGGCCTCAGATGGCAAGATGTCACGTGGTACACCCCCGCGATCATTCCCGCGGTGGTTGGTATTGGGATCATTGCCTTTTTCCTATGGAAGGTAAGTATATACGACAATGCGGGCATGCCGCATGTTCAGGATGTTTATACCGCAGAACATCCCAACCGGCTCCAATATATGATCGTTCGCACCAATATACTCCTACACCCGCGTTCATTCCTTGTATCCTACCGTCCTCACCCTGCTCTTTACCCCCCTTTTTCTGCTTAGTACTTTGCGTACCTCGCCAAACGACGACGAACATATCGAACCGTTCGTGACGTGCCGTCACCGGCACTCGACGACGAAATATTGCAACATCTACAACGCGGCGAACTGCCGCCACCCGATTACGGGTACACCATGATTCGGGATACGCAACCGGCGTCAACATCCGCCCGACGACGACGCTCACCACGCGTGCATACGCGCACGCTTATCGAGCTACATCTAGAATTGCTCAACGAATGTGAAGCGACAGATTGGGAAAACGTCAAAGACGACTACTTGAAGATTGTTGTGGACGAGTGTGCGCGTGACTTGGAGCAGGACGATGACAGGAATAACAACATCTTAGGTGTGTCTACCACAAACCAGGATTTATCAGGGACCCATGTTTCCTCCACTGACTCCAAAGGAACAGATCCATGTCCAGATGGTGACCCCGATCCATGCAAGTGTATGGACAACATACAGTTCGCCACGGACCCTTCTGCACCTAACGAAGATAACCCCCATCCATGGAGTTGTATGGAAACTATACAGTTAGAAACGGACCCTTGTCCACCTAATGACCCCGATCCATGGAAGTGTATGGAAACTATGCAGTTAGATGCACAACAGAGTCGTGCTCATTCCAACCCCGGGGATGCGACGTCGGCGTGCACCCAATGGATTAACTGGATTGACCGCAACAAGCATCTATTGCGGCAGTGCATGACGCAACCGTGGTTTCTGCAATTAAAAGCGGCATGGAAACAATACCTGCGCGAGCACATGGCGGCAGACGAAGACCACGGCGTATCTGGCAACAGTGAACTGGGTGCAGCGGCCACCCCGCCGATGAAGAAACTGGACTTGTGGAGACAGTGGATAGCGCAACAACATCGGCAACTGCGTATGTATGGCCAGGAGGAGTGGTTCCAACATTTGTTGAATAATGTACAGGACGACACAGTACCGGCAACAGGCGAAGTACCTGGAGTCCAAAAAGACGTAGAAGTGGAACATGTAATGGCCGAAGAAGATAGAGTGGACAAGGACTTAGAAGTGGAAAAAGTAATGGGAACAGAACACATGCTAAGCGTGCGAGTTGCACCATGCACGCAACCTATGCATAAGCAACTTTCCATGAAAAAACCGTTAACTGCCACATTATGCATGCTCCTGCTCGCGTCCGTAATCGAAGCATGCGAAATCGAGAGTAGTATGCAAGAGAAGGAGTTATATGTGGATGCCCTATTGGAGCAACTGTGACATTAGGATGACGGCGCATATGAATGGGCAATAACGCATGCTAATCGTACACCACTTTTACTTCATTATGTGATATACATAATATATTTCTTGTTTGCACTATTCCATACCTTCTTTTTTTTTTCTGCTCTGTTCTGCTTACTTCTGTTTCTTTGTGCTTACTTTTGCCCTGTTTTGTTCTTTTTCTGTGTAGTCAACTTCTTTTAACATGACCATGGGCACACGGTGGTACCGGTTACATGCATATAAAATGCAGATTTACATGAATAATATGGAAGGGGTAGTATTCTCCTTTATGTGAAGTTAATTATTAACAGCTGAGCACGTGCATTCTACGGGTACAGTGCAGCACACATACAGAACGCGCCTACGCATTCCAGTATACGGTGCTTGTCTCCGCGCAAACGTGGCCGAGTACACCGCATTGTAGCCGAGTGTAACCACGATTCGACGAAGTAGCCGCGTGTAAGAACTATTCGAAGCCGTAGCCGAGTGTAAGACGGATTCGACGAAGGATTGTCCCAGTGTAAGAAAGGAGGGAGAGATTGTCTCTCCGAGGAAACGTGGCCGAGTAAAGTACATTGCCCCGGAGGGTAACACGCATACGACGACGTAGCCGAGTGTAACCGCGGAGGGAGATATTGTCTCTCCGAGCACACTCGTCGACCACCGCGGCCGGGTAAGAAGGATTCGACGACGTAGCTGAGTGTAAGAAGGAGGAGAGATTGTCTCTCCGAGCACCCGCGTCGACCAAAGCGGCCGAGTGTAACACGGATTAGACGCAGTAGCCGAGTGTAAGAAAGGAGGGAGAGATTGTCTCTCCGAGCAAACGCGTCGACCAACGCGGTCGGGTCAAGCAGGATTCGACGAAGTAGCCAAGTGTAAGAAACGAGGAGAGCTTGTGTCTCCGAGCACACGTGGCTGCTTATAAGACGGATTCGACGAAGGATTGTCCGCGCGTAAGAAGGAGGAGAGGTTGTCTCCGACTAAAGCGGTTCGAGTGAAGGGGTTCGAGGGACGCATTCGAGTAAGCGTTTCGCGGGACGAATTCGCGTGAGGGAGCAGGGAGCGGGGGGCGGAGGCGAAGGAACACACATATTATGTGGGAGGGCGAACAGCGTCGGCAACAACGGTAGCAACGACGGCAGGACGTAGAAGGACGAATTGATGTTGTTGTTGTTACTGCGGTTTGGTTGTGTACGCAGAGACACAGTGTGTGTGAATGGGGGTTAGTGGAGCACGGTGTAGAACGGGAAAGGGAGTGTATATTCATGAAGCGATGTGTGTGTGTACGGTAGTGTAGTAGTACTTTTTTTTTTTTTCCTTATGTTTCAATAAGGATCAGGTGAATTCCACAGCACGTTCCACAGCGCGGTCTCGAGCGTTCCCTTCGCACTGCTGCTCCTTGTAATCTTCGTATTTTTTTTTTGGTTCGTTGTGTTCGTTTTGATCCTTTGCTCTTTTACTACTTCCGCCTGGGGGGAACAGGAAGTGCATGTATATACTTATTAGAAAACGGTATCGACATATTTTTGTACATGCATGTATATGTATCATCCCGTTCATGCATGTGTTGTACGTCGTTTTTCTGAATACGGGCCGCAGTTTGTGGGCAGGAAGGACACGCAGAACCGTGTACTTTTTTCCTATGCAATGTTGTAGTTGTTCTTCTTCCTGCTGCATCCTACATCATACTGCATCGCTTCATACCTAGAGCTGCATAAAATAAAGGAGCGCGTGGGATGATCCCGCAGGACGATTCCGATGTTGTAGAAAAATTGCGTATGACGGGCGCTCAACTTCCTATTGCGTATGCAACAAGGCATGCAGCAGCATTATGTGCGAAGGAAACAGAAGATATCGGCAGCGTGCGCACCGTGCCACATGAATGTAAGGGTATAGTATGAATATGTTCTGTTTGCAAGAGTACCATCTTCCTCTCGCTGTCGCTGTGCCTCTGCCTCTGCCTCTCTCTCTGTCTGTGTGCAACAGAACAGATTAATTAGTGCGCAACGCAACACGGGTGAGGGAAGTTGGACGACAAGGACCAGGATGTAGAAAACATCTATTGGGTTCACTAATATAACATAAGGCACAGATAAAACATGGATCGCGATTTATGGATGGATTTCCTGAGGGTGCATGTTGCAAGAACCAGGAAAAACATAAAGCCCGCGGAAGGAGAATTCGTAAGACAGAACGAATAAGTAGTTAAGAGGAAATATACATAAGAAATGTGCAGCTACACTTGTAAATTAGTGAACACTCTATGCGTAATATATATAATTAAGAGTGATAAAACCTCATTACCATCTACAAAAATGAAAAATTAATGTAAAATGGTAAGACATGCATATTCGTGTAAAGTACAAATGAATGTAGGCCACATATACACATAGATACATATAAAATATCTTCATTGTAGAAAGCACTATTGAAAACTATAGAGAACAATTTCGGAGAATTTATGCAACATATGGGTGACAGCAGTATGATTGAGGCTTATGGGTCCAATTGTAATAATGATGATCCGCATTACTGGGCACAGCGTAAGAGTGCAGGACAAGGATCGAAAGTAATGATGACTAGGGAAGATAAAATTGTGTGCATGCTAATGACAGGCGCATTGTCCTTCGTGAATGGGTGGGGCACACGAGCAAAATATAAGGAAGGGACTAGTGCAGATGACAGAAAAGCAGACGAATTCATAAAATGCGCACTAGCAAATATATACATGTACACATTAGAGGAAACACGGAGTGATGCAAAATGGGGTATAGATTATGCATGGTACCTAATGAAAGGTATGGAGGTATCTGAAATGGACAATTTAATTAAAGATGAGAAATGCAAGAAGGGTGCTCAGGAATATGGAAAGGGACCCAATGATCAGATAAAGAACAGAATTCGGAGTTTGTTGAAGTCTAAGGATGCAACGTTCAATAGAATAAAGGAGGATGCAGTGGAAAATGAGAAAGTTCAAGAAGTGATCAGTGCGGCTGTAGAGAAGAAGGAAGAAGAGAAAGTAATACAACGAAAGTCGGGCAATAAGGACAGTACAAATGGTAAGACAACACATTCGTGAAAATACACGTAAGAACAAGTTCGTCCCTGGGGAGAACACACATTCGTCACTGATGAACGTTCGTCCAGGACAACACGTGAGTTAGCAGAACGGCGTAAATAAAAAGCGAGAAGCGGAAACAGACAGAAGGAAGGTTGGGACGGTTTATGAGAACAAAATCATCTCTCCTCCTCCCTCCTCTCAAAGAAGACGAGGAAGGAGGAACGAACGCAGAGAGACGTCGGTTAATCTGCGTCTTATCCGAACTTGCATAGTGTACCGCATTAATAATCGCAACCCGTCCTTCATTAATTCGTGTTCTACAGACGCAGCGGAAGTAAAGACAGGAGCAGGAGGGCGGGCATCCATGTGGAACTACTTAATAGTACTATGGGATGATTATATTGCGCAGGGCGACACGGGCGTGACGGATAAGAATATTAAAGACTGGGGGGTAAGTTCATGTGTACGCTCACATAGGACAGGGAGATAAGCTGTACTGTGTGCATGTATTAGAATGGAACTGCAGGAGCACATTAGGAACACTTGCGTAATCATCTTCTCGTCTGCTGTATTATCCTTAGAGAACGTGCGGAAATACATGTATAAAAGGATAAATGTAGGTATGCATACATTTGTGTGGAGAAGGGGAGCATGCGCGTGAATATACTTTAATTGGGATCTTATAATGCATATTGCGCTCATAGACAACTTTCTGGGAACATGTGAAGAAAGTATGGGAAGAATTTAAAGAATACGTTGAGACGGCACAGCACGTTGGGCGTGCGCGCATTATGTGCGCATCGGGCAAGGCGAATGATAGTAGTGGGACATGGACGGAACAGGACAGTGCTATATGCGAGTTAACATACATAGCATTAGATTTTAAACATGATATCGCGCGCGTGATAGCAAACGTGACTGAGGGAATTACGCAGACTGAAGTAGATGAGGACGCGAAAATGAAGTCATATATCAAATGTTTCCTAGTAAATATATTTATGAAGAAAATAATGGGCATGAATTGTTTAAAGAGACCTGGTGCACACCTAGCATTTGGTGCAGCGGACGGGATATTCAAAAATATGGCAGGAAAGGACGTGGGTAATATTGAGTGTGAGCGACAAGATGCAGAGGAAGGAGGTGAACGGGGGATACAAGCGCAACATAGAACGTTCTGGCAAATAATGGACAGATGGTTTGAAAGGAATAAGGACAAACTAGGGGACGGGGATTTTGGAGTACTGGGGGACGGTTGTATGGTAGACACAACAGGAAGAAAGGGAATAAAGGGGGAAGTACAGGAGCAGGATGCAAAGGTGGGTGAGTTGAACAATAATGAAGATGGGGCCAAGGTAAAAGACACAGTGAAAGCAGAAATAAGGAATGTGAACAAGGAGATAGACGAAAACGTGTCGAAAATACTGCACGAAATACGAAATTGTATGAATGGGGAAACCGATTGTATAAAAAAGTTATTGGAGAAAGAAAAGGAGGAACAAAAGCAGAACAATACAACCCCGCCGGAAAGTGTACACGCGAACGGGAAGTCACCGGACGTACAGACACCAGTATCACCATCAACATCAGCAAAAGCGCCTGTTGACACAGCAGTGACAGCACAGACAGAGGACCACGGTTCTAGACAGACGGGTACGGGAGGCACCCAGGGGGACACCGTAGGAACATCACCAGAGAACGATGCGACGCAGCCCGATCACACGAGTACAGGTAAGTCTGATCCTCACGAGGATATAATAATTCCTGACCTTCCACCCTTACCAGGGGAGGAACGAGGATATGTTGAGGGCACGGATGAGACTGATAAGTACAAAGGGAAAGGTGCTGTAGCTTTGCCCGGGACTCAGGGTTCAACCACAATATCCATAGGAACCTCAGAAACTACACAGAATGTACCAACAGGTACGAATAATGAATAGTCGGGAAAGGACGCAAGGAAAAAAAACAAACAAACAAACAAACAACATTTCCGGCGAGAGAGAGGGAGAGACACCACGGAGAGAGAGAAACCCAACGTCGAATGAGAGTAACCGGCCGAGCCACGGGTCGGCCGCGGGAGGTAGCGGCCGGTAGAGGTAGACGTCGACAGACCGACAGAGACAGCGACACACACACACTGCGTGTGTGTGTTGTGTGGGAGAGAGAGAGAGTCTTTTCCCGGAGTGGCACCGTAACCACTGTTCGCACCGTGGCCAACCGTGCGCGCTGGACCACGAGTCACGGACCGGTGGTCAACCGGAACCGTGTTAAACGAGCGGTGCTGAACCGTGTGGCCAACCGCGGCCGACGAATCATGGCCAATACGCGATCAACCAACAACCATAACCATCCACCTGAAACAACAGTTTCACATCTTCATTCTTCCCCGTGTGTCCATTCAGGGAAGGAGACATCAGATAGTATACCAGTGACAGAGCCACAACCACCGGCACCGCAACCATCAGGAGAAGAGACAACACAGGAAACGACGGACAAAGTACCAGTAGGGGGTGAACCAAACGCAGAAGAGCTCGCACCGGGGAGTGGCACGTCCATGATATCATCCCCCGATGACGACAGCCCCCCAGCGCATCCATCAAATGGCGTGCCTGATTCTAACTCTTCGACCAAGAACAAAGAGGACCCTGAGGACTCGAGCACAGTACTAACCACTACATCCGACGCCCCCACGATTGTTGGTCCCGGCGCAAATGCTGTTGCTGAAGGCATCGAAACATCACAGTCGGCTGGTCCTGCTGGTCCAGATGGGGCAGCTGGTTCCACCGGTGAAGCCGGTACCCCGGCGGGTGGCCGTGGCGGCCAAGCGGACCCCCCTCCACAGGGAGCAACATGGACTGACCTTATCCCGCATACCCCCGCCATCATTCCCGCCGTGGTTGGTATTGGGCTCATTGCGTTCTTCCTCTGGAAGGTCAGTATATACGACAATGCGGGCATGCCGCATGTGCAGGCTGTTTATACCTCAGAACATCCCTACGGACTCCAATACATGATCGTTCTAACACAAATGTACTCCTACACCCGCTTTCATTCCTTTTATCCTACCGTCCTCACCCTTACCCCCTTTTTCTGCTTAGTATGTTGCGTACCTCGGAACAAAACGACGACGAACGTTTCGCACCGTTCGTGACGTGCCGTCACTGCCACTCGACGACGAAATACTCGACCATCTACAACGCGGCGAACTGCCGCCACCCGATTACGGCTACACGATAATTAGGGATAGGCAGCGCGGCAGATTGCCCGCCGCACGCCGCGGACCACGCCCACCACGCGTGCATAAGCGCACCATCATCGAGCTACATCTAGAAGTGCTCAACGAATGTGAAGTGACCGAATGGGAAAACGTCAAAGACGACTATTTGCAAATACTTGTGGAGGAGTTTGCACAGGAGTTGATGCGGGACGACGACAGGAATAACAACATGTTGGGTGTGTCTACCAGAAGCGACGGTTTATCACGGAACCATGTTTCCTCCACTGACTCCAAAGGAACAGATCCATGTCCAGATGGTGACCCCGATCCATGCAAGTGTATGGACAACATACAGTTCGCCACGGACCCTTGCCCACCGACTGCAGACGACCCCGATCCATGGAGTTGTATGGAAACCATACAGTTAGAAGAGGAACAGAGTCCTGCCCTTACAGGTCCCGAGGACGCGACTTCGGAGTGCACCCAATGGATTAACTGGATTGACCGCAACAAGTACCTTTTGCGGGAGTGCACGACGCAGCCGTGGTTTTTGCAATTAAAAGCGGAATGGAAACAATACCTGAGTCAACATTGGACAGATGAGGTATCCGCGCACCGTGAATTCGGTGAGCGTGGCAATATGCCATCCGCAGAGATGAAGAAAGTGCGGTTGTGGAAACAATGGGTTTCCCAACAACATCGGCAAATGAGTACATACACTGAAGAGGAGTGGTTCCAACATTTGTTGAATAATGTAGAGGAGGAGAAAACAGAAGAGAAGTGGTCCCAGAGGGAACAAACTTTGCACGTAAGCAACATCCCAACAGCACAGGAAGGAGCAACCCACGCAGAAGCAGAACCGCGGGCCCCTGAAAATATACCGTTTACGAAGGTAAAAGAACCAGAACAGCAGCAAGACCACCATCCGGAATTGCGACATACGGAGCAATTAACCGCTCAAAAACTGTGGATGCTAATCCTCGCGTCCGTAATCGAAGAATGCGAAATCGAGAATATTATGCAGGATAGGGAGTTATATGTGGATGCACTACTGCACAAGCTCTGCAATTAAGATGACGGGGCATATGCATGGGAATAATGCAATAACGCATGCTCATAGTACATCACGTTTACTTCATTATGTGATATACATAATATATTTCTGGTTTGCACTATTCCATACGTTGTTTTTTTTTTTTCTGCTCTGTTCTGCTTGTGCTTACTTTTGCCTTGTTTTGTTCTTTTTCTGTGTAGTCAACTTCTTTTAATACGACAATGCGGACAGGTGGGTACAGGTCAAATGCATATAAAATGTAGATTTAAATGAATAATATGACGGCGTGGAATTCTCCTTTATGGGAAATTAATTATTAACAGATGAGCACGTGCATTCTACGGGTATAGTGCAGCACAAATATAGCATGCGCATAATCATTCGAGTATAAGGACAGCTTGTCTCTCCGAGCAAACGTGGCCGCGTAAAGACCATTGTCGCCGAGTGTAGGAGGGATTCGACGAAGTAGCCGAGTAAGAGCTTGTCGACGAGTGTAAGAAGGAGGATTGGTGGTCTCTCCGAGCCCACGCGGTTCGACGACGTAGCCGACTGTAAGAAGGAGGAGGATTGTCTCTCCGAGCAAACGTGGCCCATTGTAACAACGATTCGACGAAGTAGCCGAGTGTAACACGGATTCGAGGAAGCCGCCGAGTGTAAGAAAGGAGAGAGAGATTGTCTCTCCGAGCAAACGCGGCCGGGAAAAGCAGATTGTCCCAGTAACGGGTTCGCGGAAACGATCCAGCGAGGGAGCAAACAGTGGGGCGCGTAGAAGGAACTCACATATTATGTGGGAGCACGCACCACGGAAGGAAGGCGGCAACGACGGCGGCAACCACGGCAGCAGTATTGATGTTGTTGTTATACTGCGGTTTGGTTGTGTACGCACACAGAGACAGTGTGTGTGACGGCGTTTAGTGGAGACCGGTGTAGAAGTGGGATATTCATAGCGCGTTGCGTGCGCACGGTAGTGTAGTAGTACTTTTTTTTTTTTTCCTTTTCTTCTTCTACAGAGGCAACGAGGACGGCAGGAAGGCGGACGCAAGAAGCAGTAGCTTGTGTATTTATCACGACTTCCAGAACTGCGCACCGAAGCGTGACAGAGAAGCGTTGACGGAGAGGCGTTGACGGAGAGGCGTTGACGGGAGCAGCGGTTACGGAGAAGGCGTTGACGGCAGAGACGGCGTTGACGGAGAGAAGCGTTGACGGAGAGAAGCGTTGACGGACAGACGCGTTGACGGGAGAGGCGTTGACGGCGAGGCGTTGACGGAGAGAAACTTTGACGGAAAAGGCGTGGACGCAGAGAAGCGTTGACGGAAAAGGCGTTGACGGAGAACGGTGTGACGAGAGAGGCGTGATCGAGAAGCGTTGACGGAGAGCAGTTGGCGGAGAGGCGTTGGCGGCGAGGCGTTGACGGAGAAGGCGTGGACGGAGAAGCGTTGACGGAAAGGCGTTGACGGAAGAGGCGTTGACGGGAGAGGCGTTGACGGAGACGGGGTGACGAAGGCGGCGTCACCCGGACAAGGGGCTACGGAGACGGGGTGACGGAGAAGCGTTGACGCGGAGAGGCGTTGACGGAGACGGTGTGTGTATATGTTTTTTTTTTTTTTGTAGTTGTTGTTAATGAGCGCTGTGTAGTAGTAGTAGTAGTAGAAGTCGTACTTTTTTTTTTCAGAAGGGGAATAAAACGTGTTCAATATGGGTAAAAACGACTATGATGCAGACATAAGGAAATTTCTAGGTGCATGGGATGATTATCTAAAGCACAGGCAGATAAAGAACGGACACGAATATTGGGTAAGTTCAATTGTACACAACATTTCGTAGGAAGGGGAATAGTGCAAGTTGCAGAGCAATATATATACATGGCAAATTGTAACCTGTATGTGTACGCATAAACTATTTATATAAGTGTCGTATAGTCCACAACGTATTGTGATGACAGATATGGCACAGGGAGCATGCATGCATCTGAAAAGAGCTGTGGTTAAATGTAGACCCATTTAAGGGAAGAGCGAACAGAATGAACGCACAAGCACATATATGGATTCTTCCACTCGCAGAAAAAATTAATGCACGAGGTCAACATTATCTTCAAGGAAGTAACCACTACACTCACCCAACGTAGCGGCCAGAACGCCGGTATTTGTGGAAGTCTATATACCGGAGCGGAAACAAATGTGGCTACATGCAAAAGCAGGTGTATGGAAATTGCGAGCCTTATGCTGTACATAAAGGGATATAAACATCATAAGGGTAATTGGAACAAAAGAACACCGAGCACACACTCAGCGCAGATGTTTACGGAATATTTACGGTGTACACTGGCGACTGAGGTTTTACTACAGGTGTATGGGCAAACTAGTGACCACAGGGAAGTAATACAGAAAGTTAAGGCAGAACTGGAGAAAACGGATGCACCAGGGCACACGCACTATGTGCCAGGGGTGTGTGAGGGCCGGGACTATGGCGAGGCCATATTCGGATTACGTGGTATTGGACCAAGCATAAAGCATCGGCTGGACACATGGAAGGCAGGTTTGCCAACAGGCAACATCGGCACTACACACGGCACACGGCAACAGTGTGCTTGGGCAGAACAGGACGGGCAGGACAAAGACCAAAACAGTGAAGAAACGTGTAATGTGCATGACGTGGTGACAACCAAGGACTCTGAGCTCATGAGAAGCATAAAATACTGGACGGAAGATCTTCTCTATCCTCGGGTGAAAAAGTTGTTAGAGGAAATGAAGGACGGACGCATGCCCGGCGGGAAATGTGCAATAGAGAAGAAGATAAAGGAGGGAGTACAGAAAGTGAAGGACAGAGTGAATCCACGTAAGCCTGCCACTGCTGCAAAGCCAGACGCCGCCAAACCCGCCCCTGCCAAACCACCATCTTCACCCGGAAATGGAGCCGGCAGCAGACCTGCCAAACCAGTAGCGGGGAACCCGGTGCCGAAGAAGCCGCGCGAGCTAAAGGATTGTCAAGGAGACAGATTATTGGAGTGGAGGGAAAAGGAAATATACGTGCTGCAGGGTTATAGTGTAAGTTAGAATACGAGAAGTGCAGAAAACAGAACAGCAGAGGGAACTGAGGGGCAGTAATGCATGATTCATACGGTATATACATACATGTGAGGGTGTAAATGGACTCAGGCGCGACGCGCGTTCGTGAAATGGGGAAATGAGTTCTTTTGTGCATGTTCGTGTACAACATGTAGGCTGAAGACTGGAACAAGGTACAGAAGGTGTTGAAGGAATTTATTCAACATTTGCAGGGCACAAATGAGCTCTTTGACGCGTACGGTGCCAACTGTGATAATATAGGTTGGGAAGATATGAGGCCTGGTCAATACCACAAAGGCCAGAGAGTGGCAGATATGATGAGGTGCAGGATAATGTCGGGAGCCTTGTGGTTTGCAAATGGCGCTAACGCACAAGGGACCACGGTGCATATGGATGACACGGACACGTGGCTACGGTGCGAGGTAGCACATGTATTTGGGCACTTACTGAAAAAAATGTATTGTACGGATCAGCAAGGATGGAGTAGAGGTGTAGAGTATGCATATACAGCACTGCAAAATATGGGGCAACAAACAAATGGGGTAGACGGAATTAAAGGACCCGTTGTGGAGGGAAAGTGCACCATGTGTGGGTATACGGGCTATAAGCACAATGCGCAAGCAGTAAATTTGGAAATAGCACAATGGTTGATGGCAGCAGGAAACATATTGTCAGAAATACAGCAACTAGAGGCGGAAATGCCCTGTAAGGAGTATTGGGAAAAGTATATTAATAAGGAGCATGTAGAAAAAGGGAACCCTATGGACAAACTTTTGAACGAAAAAGGGAAGGAAAAAATGAAGGATATACAGAACGAAATAGTACAGAAAGCAACGAACGTGTTTGATAAGGCGAAGGACGCAGTAGAAAAGAAAATAACACAACTGGCAGGTTCGAATACGACTCGTAAGAATACGTATATACGACCCGCATGAATACGAACATACGGCCGCTACCGAGAAGACTGCGGACGGATGCCGCCAACAACAACACGCACACGGCAGCCACAACAGCACAGCAAACGACGTCGTTGACGTTGAGCGGCGGCCACGACGGCAGCGGTAGCGGTTGCGGAGCGGACGGAGATGAGTGGCCACGGCACGGGTCGCTGGACTAGATGACGACGACAAACAACAGTTGTACTGCTATCATCTACCCCCAGTTCACCGAGTGCGCCCGCCTTTCTTCCTGTCTTTGTCCTCTTCTAACAACGTGCGCTCTCTGTAACACCGTGCCGCCCCTACCGTGCCGCTACCTGACCGAACCGTCCCGGCCCCTTCTTTCTGTACCACTTTGTGTCCTTTTTTGTATCATTTTGTCGTTGTTCTTCTTTGCTTCATTTGCAGCGACGAAGACACCAGAAGTTCCAGCAGCTAAGGTACCAAAGACACCAAAGGCGGTTGTTCCTGAGAAGAAACCATCGGGGGAAGGCAGTGAGTCAGATGACAGAGCACGGGCTGAAACAGGAGCAGGCGGGGACGGACAAGGACCAGGTCAGGGACCTGGACCTGGACAACAACCTCCAGCTCCTGCACCACCCAGCGGACCATCCACACCAACACCAGGTCCGCAGGGAGGAGCACAGGGACCTCCTGGACCAGCAGGATCCGGGCAGGGAGAAGCAGGTACAGGAAGTACAGGTAATATCGGATGTCACGACAGCGACGTCACATCCTCCAGTGTATCTGTTACCTGTGGTACATATACTGCTCCGGGCTTGGAAGCCCCTAATATTCCTGCAGGTATTACTGTTATAGTTCCGGATGCTACCAGCGGCGCCGGTATACTCTGTGTCCCACGTGTACGGCACGATGGGAACAGTGTGTACCATGATACACAGGCAGAGCGGGAGAGACAAAAAAAAACAAAGAGGAAAAAAGAAACAACTTTTCCGGAGAGAGAGGGAGAGACACCACGGAGAGAGAGAAACCAAACGTCGAATGAGACTGATGGCGGCAGCGCGACGGGGCAAGCCAGGCGAGCGAGTAAGCCGCCGCGGCAGGTAGAGCGTCGTAGAGACGTCGACCGGTGGACGTCGACAGACAGACGTCCACGTCGACAGACACCCACACTGTGTCTGTGTGTTGTGTGTGTTGTGGGTGGCAGAGACAGAGTCTGTTCCCGGGGTGGCACCGTAACCACCGTTCGCACCGTGGCAAACCATCCAGCGGCGCACCATGTGCCCAACCGACCGTGGGCAAAACCATCCGAAACATAACTTCAGTTTCATCATACTTCTTCCTTCCCTTTCCATGTCTCCCCATTCACCACATGTTCAGGCGATGCCCCCGTCGTTGACGGCGGAAACGATGACCCCCCTCCTCTCAATCCACCCAAACCAAAACCGAACCCGAACCCAAATCAATCGGGTAGTAGTGGCAGTTTCAGTGATGCCGATTTGGCGGATGGAGTTTCTAGTGGGGAAGGACAAGGCGGAGGTGAGGGTGGTGAACAGGCTGCTGGCAGCGCCGGTAGCGGCAGTCCCGGAGGAGGAGGTAGTAGTGGTGGTGGTGGACGCGGTGGAGCAGGTGGTAGCGGCACTGCAGTTGGCACCCCTTCCGTTCCGCGCGGCCTCACATGGGAAGATGTCATCCCCTATACCCCCGCGCTCATTCCCGCGGTTGTTGGTATTGGGGTCATTGCGTTCTTCCTATGCAAAGTAAGTATATACGACAATGCGGGCATGCCGGAAGTGCAGGATGTTTATACCTCACAACATCCCAACCGGCTCCAATATATGATGTTTCTAACCAATATGCCCCTACACCTGTATTCATTCCTTGTATCCTACCGTCCTCACCCTCCTATTTACCCCCTTTTTCTGCTTAGTACTTGGCGTACCTCGTACAAAAACGACGACGAACATATCGAACCGTTCGTGACGTGCCGTCACCGCCACTCGACGAAGAAATATTGGAGCATCTACAACGCGGCGAGCCGCCACCCGATTACGGCTACACGATGGTTATGGATAGGCAGCCCGGCAGATTGCCCGCGGGACGACGACGTCATCCACGCGTGCATAAGCGCACGATCATCGAGCTACACTTAGAAGTGCTCAACGAATGTGAAGCAGCCGAATGGGAAAACGTCAAAGACGACTATTTGCAGATGGTCGTGGAGGAGTTTGCGCAGCATTTGATGCGGGACGATGACAGGAATAACAACATCTTGGATGCTCCTACCACAAACCAGGATTTATCAGGACACAATGTTTCAGCCACCGTGGACCCATCCACTGACATCGAACAAACGGATGCATGTCCACCGAATGACCCCGATCCATGGCGTTGTATGGAACCCATACAGTTAGAAACGGACCCTTGTCCACCTAATGACTGCGATTCATGCGTTTGTACGGCACCTATACCGTTAGCAACGGACACTTGTCCACCTAACGAAGATGACCTCGATCCATGGAGTTGTATGGAAACTACACCGTTAGCAACGGAACATTGTCCCGCTGATAAAGATGACCCATGGAATTGTATGGAAACCATACCGTTCGCCACGGACCCTTGCCCACCCAATGAAGACGACCCAGATCCATGGAGTTGTATGGAACATATCGACTTAGATGCAGCACCGAGTCGTACTCATTGCGACCCCGGGGCTGCGACGTCGGCGTGCACCCACTGGATTCACTGGATTGACCGCAGCAAACATATTCTGCGGGAGTGCACGACGCAGCCGTGGTTTTTGCAATTGAAATCAAACTGGAAACAACACCTGCGTGAGCACATGGTGGCAAACGCAGCATCCAGTGAGAACAGGACAGCCGCATTCATGGAAAGCAAGAAATTGGATGCATGGAGAGCATGGGTTGCAAAACAACATGAGCTTATGAATACATATAGTGAGCAGGAGTGGTTTCAACGTTTGTTGAATAATGTAGAGGCGGAGACAGTACCGGCAAAAGGCGATGTACCTATAGTGGAAAACGACTTAGAAGTGGAAAACGTAAATGTAGCACAACAGATGCTACGAGTGAGAGATGTACCACGCTCGCAACTACTGCATCAGCCACCTTACATGACACAACCGTTAACCGCTCAAACATGGATACTGCTGCTCGCGTCGGTAATCGAAGCATGCGAGGTCGAGAGACGTATGCAGGATAGGGAGTTATATGTGGATGCACTATTGCAACAGTGTTCACATTAGGATGCCGACGCATATGCATGCGACATCACGCATGCTACTCGTACACCACTTTTACTTCATTATGTGATATAATATACTTCTACTTTACATTATTCTATACATTCCTTTTTTTTTTTCTGCTCTGTTCTGCTTACTTGTGCTTACGTTTGCCTTGTTTTGTTCTTTTTCTGTGTAGTCCACTTCTATTAATATAACTATGGGGACCGGGTGCTACCGGTTACATGCATATAAAACGTAGATTTAACTGAATAATATGACGGGGTCGTGTTCTCCTTTATGTGCAGTTAATTATTAAAAGCTCAGCACGTGCATTCGACGCGTATATTGCAGAACAAATATAGAATGCGACTACGCATTCGCGCGTACGCAGCGATTGTGTCTCCGAGCACACGCGTCGACCAAAGCGGCCGGGTAAACGGAGATTGTCCGAGTGACGCAGTTCGACGAAGTAGCCGCGTACGCATCCAGAGAGGGAGCAGAGAGCGGAAGGCGGAAGATCCAAGAAAACAAGTAGTTGTTGTGTATATTTATCACGACTTCCAGAAGCAGTTGACGGAGAGACGTTGACGCAAGAGGCGTTGACGGGAGAAGCGTTGACGGAGAGCCGGGGTGACGGAAGTGGCGTTGACGGAGACGGGGCGAACAAGTGAAGGAAGGCGGCCACGACGGATTCCACGCGGTAACCGAGTGTTTGAGGGCGTTTAGTGGAGAACGGGTGTTGTTGTTAATGGGTGTATTCATGACGAGTTGTGAGTGTAGTCGTAGTAGTAGTGTACCTTTTTCTATTTTTGTCTGTCTTTTTTATTTGTCTTTTCTTCCGTGTGCCCTCTATTTGCAATTCCTATGCACATTTTTGGTTTTGGTCCATCCTGCCTTCTACCTATATGTGCTCCATTTTTTCTGTTTTTAGCGAACATTGGATTGCTACTTGCACAGCAGTGCACAAAGCCAGACGCACCATTATCGACTAAAATTGCACGCACGAGCGAATTCATGTAATATAACAACAATACGAATAATAGTAATGTATGGGTATTTCTACGGGTACCGTATATTTCAGTGAACAGTAGTAATATGGGAACGGTAGATTTGGCGCATGTATTGGCGAAATGGGTCATCGCCGCGGGGATTTCCGATCAGGACCAGTATGAGGTAGGAACATACTGTAACAGAAGTGCAGCACGGGGGAGTTCCGTGTTAGGGTTTTATTGGTACACGTGAGAATGCAGCACCTCGGGGAACATAGATTGCAGGAACACATGCGCATGTACATATTTCCTGTGTTTCTCTTACATTGTAGGAAATGGTGTGGAACAAGACTAAAGAGGTCATGGCGGAATTTGTGGACTACATGCAGAATGAGAACATAATACTGTATGCAGCGCCCTGTGGTAACGCAGGATGGGAGCACCCCGACCACAACGACGGTCACACCTATCTAAACCAAAAGGTCGGCGATAAAATTGTATGCGTACTTATGGTAGGGGCATTATATTACATGAATGGGTGGACTAGTTCAGAAAAGGCTAGACAAAAGGAGGATGCAACCAATGAGAAAATAAGGAAGCACTTACGATGTGCAATAGTACATATGTTCAGTTATATATTAAGAGAGTCCGTGTGCAAAAGTGAATGGGGGACAGATTATGCATGGAGACAGATGACAGAAATGGAGACTGGGACCGGAGGATGGCAGGGAGGTTTGATACAGACGGGGACATGTGGCAAAGACCTATTTGCAAATGGGAGGGTGGGACAACTCGACTTAAATGCACAGGTCAAACAATGGTTACGGAACAATAGTAGACTACAACAACGGCTTAAACAAGTGAAGGGAGATAACACGTGTCAGACACAGTGGCAGAAGAAATGGAGCATAGCTAATTTCTTGAATAAAGAGGATACGGAGCATAAGGAAAACTTAAAAATTACTAAGATAGTCGGCGAATTGAAGGAACGAATCATCGACCTACTTAAGGATCTCGGGAACCAGGTAGACGAGGACGTACAAAAACGGCAACAAGCGAAGAAGGGGAAGTCAGGTAAGGAATGCCATGTGCCGGTCGAATGAGACAGCTTCGAACGCAACAGGAATGATAAGTAATCACACGACCACTACAGCCAGTTTCGAAGTAAAAGGGAAACAGCAATGCGAAACAAGCTGCAGTTATGTGCACAACGTTCATTGCTGTGTCCTTGCAAGAACACAAAACCTAAATACGCACATTTCTAATTCCCATTTTTGCCCTTTATTGCAGCGAAGGATGACAAAAGCGGACAGGCTGCCACCAAGGCGGCCACCGGCACAACACCACAGGAAACGACAGGTAAGACCGCTCAGAGCAAGCACGAATACGAACACGGCCGCATACGGCATCATACGGCCGCTAACGCTACGATCCGTAGGATTTCGCACGGATGCAACCACAACAACAACGCACACGCGGCGAGAACAGCCAACAGCCGTGCGCAACAGCGGGGAACAGCACACGACGTCGCAGCTCCGTCGCTGTACCACTTCGGTTGAGCGTTGACTACGACGGACGCGGTAGCGGCGGCCACGAGTGTAGACTACGGCAGCAATAACAGCATCGGTAGCGGTAGCGGCGACGGCCACGACGGCGATGAGCGCGTAGCGACGGCGAGATGACGGCAACAACAAATAAAAGTTGTACTGCTACCATCTAGTCCAAGGTCACCGAGTACACCCAGTCCACCGAGTGCGCCCGCCTTTCTTCCTGTCTTTGTCCTCTTCTAACAACGTGCGCTCTCTGTAACACCGTGCCGCCCCTACCGGGCCGCTACGTGGCCACACCGTCCCGGCCCCCTTCTTTCTGTACCACTTGTGTCCTGTTTTGTATCATTTTGTCGTTTTTCTTTCTTATTGTAGCTACGACCCAGGACAAACACGCAGAAGGCACGAGTAACGAGAAGAAAGAAGACAAGAAAGAGGAGAAGAAAGAAGAGAAACAGGGTGACCAAGGGAATAAGGGAGACCAATCACCAGTCCCCTCAGTACCTGCAGCACCATCACAAGGGAGGTCCGATCCAGGGTCAGCGTCATCAACGACAGAATCTCAACCCCAAGCACCGGCATCTCCAGTATTACCAGCCAGACCACCACCACCAGCGGAAACACCAACGGAACTGGCTACCGCAGCAGGATCCACGACATCTACAGGAACGGGACCTGGACCTGGACAACAACCCCCACCTCCACCACCTCCACCACCTCCACCACCTCCACCACCTCCACCACCTCCACCACCTCCTCCACCACAACCCGCACGTCCAGCAACTCCACCACCGGCAGGAGAAGACGGGAAAAAAGGAGCAAAGGGTGAAGCAGGTCCAACCGGACCACAGGCGGATCCCGCATCAGGGGCAGCTGGTGGACAAGCTCCAGATAGTAAAGGTAAGATGAAAGAAGGATGAGGGCGAGGAGTATAAGGACGCGAGGGTAAGTGTACCATGATTACAACAAAAAAGGAGGATTCATCATTATATGCACACCCCTGGGATCAACAGAAACAATACCACCAACACTACCTTCGCCAACGCCAGAACCACGACAACCGGGATCGTCCGCGGTTGAAGACTATAAGAGCATATGTGAAAACACGGACTCCGGTCCACAGAGCACTACTGTAATATCCTCCGGTGATTCAAGTGTTAGTATTACGCCTGTTACTTACACTTCTGGGGCGGAACCACCGTGTAAATTCCTGAAGGAACTCGCAGAAAAGGAGGAAAGAGCAAAGTCCACCCCGAAAACTGTGGACAACACAAAAAATGATAAACGAGAGAGTGCTCCCAGCGGGGAAACTAATGTACAAGGTACTCGAGTCTTTCCCATTACTGCGCAGCAGGGTACACATACCCTACGACCCATATTATAATTGTAGCACACACAAAAGAAACCACATTTCAGGAGAGAACACGGAGAGAGGGCGAGAAAGAAACCACACGTCGAATGAGAATGGTGGCGGCAGAGCGCTCGGCCGAGCCACGGGGCGGAGAGAGCGAGCGATAGGTCGGCCGCGGGGGAGGGTAAGCCGCCGCAGCAGGTAGAGCGCTGGATCGGCCGCGGGTTGTAGCTGTAGACAGACGTCGACAGCCACAGACACACTGTGTGTGTTGTGTGTTGTGTGTGGGAGAGAGAGTCTTTTCCCGGGGTGGCACCCTGCCCCCCTACCCTCGTCTCCCCGACGCCTGCCCCCCATCCTTCCTGGCTGGTTCCCCGATGCCGTCCCCGTGGCACCATGTGGGCAACCGTGACAGTGTTGTCACGGATCGGTTGGAACCGTATGGCCAACGAACCATGCATTCATCGTAACAAACTTCAGTGTTGACACTTATGCTTGTTCTTCCCTTAAACATATAGGTAATACTGAATCCACGGATACAGAGAGTAAGAATGGGACAGAAGCAGGATCAGCACAACCAACACCAGGAGCACCACCAGCAGCACCATCACCGGCGGTACCTACAGGGGAACCCACACCACAATCAACAGGCACAGAAACAACATCAACAGCAAACGCCGGGGACGGTAGTACGCGTGACACGCAGGATGCCGTCATCGATGGCGGCAACGATGACCCCCCTCCTCTCAATCCACCCAAACCAAAACCGGACATCTCAACTCCGAACCCCGATCAATCCGGTAGTAGTGGCAGTTTCAGTGACGCTGATTTGGCGGATGGAGTTTCTGGTGGGGCAGGAACAAAGGATCCTGCTGAAGGACCAGGTAGTGGTTCACCTGGGGGACAGGGTGTTGCTATTACAGCTAATACTGACGTAAGTGCTCCTAAGAAAGCAGATGGGGGGGGTAAAAGTGGAGGACCCGGTCGAGGAGACGGAAAACCGCATGGTGATGGCCGCGGCACAGAACATATCACCCCTGCCGTTGTGCCCGGCCTCAGATGGGAAGATGTCAAGCCGTACACCCCAGCGATGCTCCCCGCGCTGGTTGGTATTGGGGTCATTGCCTTTTTCTTATGGAAGGTAAGTATACACGACAATGAGGGCATGCCGCATGTTCAGGATGTTTATACCGCAGAACATCCCAACCGGCTCCAATAGATGATCGTTCTAATCAATATGCCCCTACACCCGCGTTCATTCCTTTTATCCTACCGTCCTCACCTTCCTGTTTACCCCCTTTTTCTGCTTAGTATTTTGCGTACCTCGCCAAACGACGACGAATATATCGAACCGTTCGGGACGTGCCGTCACCGCCACTCGACGAAGAAATATTGCAACATCTACAACGCGGCGAGCCACCACCCGATTACGGGTACACCATGGTTACGCAACCTGCGTCAACATCCGGTAGAGGCCGCCCACCACGCGTGCATAAGCGCACCATCATTGAACTACATCTAGAAGTGCTCCACGAATGTGCAGCGGCCGAATGGGAAAACGTCAAAGACGACTATTTGCAGATTGTAGTGAAGCAGTTTGCGCAGCCGTTTGCTCAGGAGTTGATGCAGAACGAGGACACGAATAACAACATCTTGGATGCTGCTACCACAAACGATGGTTTATCAGGGAACCATGTTTCCTTCGCCCTGGATCCACCCGCTGACAATTACAAACGGACCGTTCTGCATATAACGAAGATGACCCCGATCCATGCAAGTGTATGCAAACTATACCGTTACCCACGGACACTTCTCCACCTAACGAAGACGACCCCGATCCATGGGGTTGTATGGAAACCATACGGTTAGCAACGGACCCTTCTGCACCTAACGAAGATGACCCAGATCCATGGAGTTGTATGGACACCATACAATTACAAACGGACCCTTGTCCACCGAATGAAGAGGACCCGGATCCATGGAGTTGTATGGAAACTGCACCGTTAGAACACGAAGACAGTCCTTCGCCCCCTCCATCCTCTTCCGACCCCGGGAATGAATGTCCGACCCCCGACCACACTAATTGGATTAACTGGATTGCGCGACACAAACATATTCTGCGGCAGTGCATGACGCAACCGTGGTTTTTGCAATTAAAAGCGGATTGGAAACAATACCTGCTTGCACACATGGTGGCACAGCAGGACAACGTAGTATCCGGGCAGCGTGCATTAGGTGAAGCGCCAACCGTGCCGATGATGAAACTGGACTTGTGGAAAGAATGGGTAGCGCAACAACATCGGCAAATGAGTGTACATAGCGCCGAGGAGTGGTTTCAACATTTGTTGAATAATGCAGACGCGGCGACAGAATCGCAAACAGGGGACGTACCTGGAGTCGAAAAAGGCATAGAAGTGGAACAAGTAATGGCCGCAGAAGATGTTCTAAGAGTGCGAGTTGCACCATGCAACCAGCCACTGCATCGGCAACCGGACATGCAAAAAACGTTAACCGCTACAACATGGATGCTCATTCTAGCGTGCGTTATAGAAGACTGCGAGGTCGAATGTCGTTTGCAGGAGAAGGAGCTATATGTGGATGACCTATTGGAGCAACTGTGACATTCGGCTGACGGCGCACATGACTGGGAAATAACGCATGCTGACCGTAGACCACTTGTACTGCATTATGTGATATAATATATTTCTGGTTTACATTATTCTATATCTTCTTTTTTTTTTTGCTGCTCTGTTCTGCTTACATGTGCTTACTGTTGCTTTTGTTTTGTTCTTGTTTTGTTCGTTTTCTGTGTAGTCAACTTCTTTTAACATGACCATAGGAACAGGTGCGTACCGGTCAAATGCATATAAAATGTAGATTTACATGAATAATATGAACGGGTCGTATTCTCCTTTATGTGAAATTAATTATTAAAACATGAGCACGTGCCTTCTACTGGTATAGTGTAGAACTAATATAGAACGCGCCTACGCATTCGAGTATAAGGACAGATTGTCTCTCCGAGCAAACGCGGCCGCATAAACCGCATCAGTCCGCGTGTAAGAAGCATGCGACGAAGTGGCCGAGTGTAAGAAGGAGGGAGAGATTGTCTCTCCGAGAAAACGTGGCCGAGTAAACGGGATTGTAGCCGAGTGTAACAAGCAGGACAGATTGTCTCTCCGAGCAAACGCGGCCGGGTAATAACGATTCGACGTAGTAGCCGAGTAAGAGCTTGTCGACGAGTGTAAGAAGGTACACATTGTCTCTCCGAGCAAACGCGTCGAGCAACGCGGCCAAGTGTAAAAACGACTCGACGACGGATTGTCCGAGTGTAAGAACGAGGAGCACATTGTCTCTCCGCGCAAACGTGGCCCGTTAAGGTGATTCGAGGCCCGATTCGACGAAGTAGCCGAGTGTAAGAAAGGAGGGAGAGATTGTCTCTCCGCGCAAACGCGTCGACCAAAGCGGCCGCGTGTAAGACCGATTCGACGAAGTGGCCGAGTGTAAGAAGGAGCAGCAGATTGTCTCTCCGAGCAAACGCGGTTCGACCCCCGCGACCGGGTAAACGGAGATTGTCTCCGTGTACAGGGATTCGAGGAAGTAGCCACGTGACGGACAGGCGTTGACGGGAGCAGCGGTTACGGAGAAGGCGTTGACGGAGAGAAGCGTTGACGGAGCGGCGTTGACGGGAGCGGCGTTGACGGGAGAGGCGTTGACGGGAGAAGCGTTGACGGAGAAGGGGTGACCCGGAGACGGGGTGACGGAGACGCGTTGACGCGAGCGGCGTTGACGGGACAGGCGTTGACGGGAGCAGCGTTGACGGAGAACGGGGGACCCGGAGACGGGGTGACGGAGAGGCGTTGACGGGACCGGCGTTGACGGAGACGGCGTTGACGGGAGAGGCGTTGACGGAGAGGCGTTGACGGAGAGGCGTTGACGGAAGCGGCGTTGACGGAGCAGTGGTGTGACGGAGAAAGCGTTGACGGAGAGGCGTTGACGGAGAAGCGTTGACGGAGAAGGCGTTGACGGAAAAATGTTGACGAAGAAGGGGTGACGGAGACGGCGTTGAAGGAGAGGCGTGCACGGAGAAGGGCTGACGGAAGAAGCGTTGACGGAGAAGGGCGTGACGAAGACGGTGTGACCGGGAGAAGAGTTGACGGACAAGGTGTGACCGGGAGCAGCGTTGACGGAGACTTGGTTCACGCACACGGGGTGACGGAGACAGAGTTGGCGTAGAGGCGTTGACGGGACAGGCGTTGACGGAGAACGCGGTGACGGGAGAAGGGGTTGACGCAGACGGGGTGTGACGCAGAGGCGTTGCCGCAGACAGGCGTTGACGGAGCGAGCGTTGACGAAGACGGTGTGACGGAGAGAGCGTTGACGCAGAGAGCGTTGACGGAACAGGCGTTGACGGAGAGGCGTTGCCGCAGACAGGCGTTGACGGAGAAGCGTTGACGGGAGAGGCGTTGACGGAAAAATGTTGACGAAGAAGGGGTGACGGAGACGG